GATGATAATAATAATAATAATAATAATAATAATAATTATTATTATTATTATTATTATTATTATTATTATTGGTGTGTGTGTGGTTATCCAGATCAGTATATTTTTGTTTATGGAAGCGGCAATGTGGTTTTAACTTGACTATCGTTTCTTGCTTGGCAGGCATGCTTTGATACGGTTGGACGAGCAGGTTGAAAATTGATAGTATCTTTTAGAGGCCGTGGAGCTGTTTTTAGTTACTGTTGCTGAATTTTGGTATATTGAGACTGGTGTCTGGAAATGGCTAACCATGAGTTGATACTTGGGCAAAGTCATAATGTAACACTTGGGCAGAATCAGCAGATGGTGATGAACCATAATCATAACATTGGTGGTATTGGCCAGAGTCATGAGTTGGAACTAGGACAAGCACATGAGCATCACTTGGATATAAGTCAAACCCATGAACATGAATTGGGTTTAGGGCATGCTCATGACCATGATTTGGACATAGGACAGAATCATGACCAAGATGGGAATGATGAGCAAAATTTTGGGCATGAGAATGAGTTAGCAATGGATCGGAAGCCTGATCATGAGGACCATGAATTGGCTATTCCTGCTCAGAATCACGAGTTGACTTTATCAGATAATAATGAGTTGGCTGTGTCCGAAAACCAAGAACTCGATGAAAACATGGAACTAGCAGTGGTTCAAAGTCAGGAAATGGGAATTGAATCTGCTCATGATATGACGATTGAGGACTCCCAGCTTGTAGTTTCTCCCACAACAGCTGTACTTCAGACCCGTGCTGTTGCAAGTCCTACTTATGAGCTGGTGGTGGGGCAAGAATTCCCAGATGTCAAGAGCTGCCGTAGGGCTTTGAGGGACACAGCAATTGCCTTGCATTTTGAAATGCAGACCATAAAATCTGACAAGACTCGTTTTACTGCCAAGTGTGCCAGTGAGGGATGTCCATGGCGTATTCATGCTGCAAAACTCCCAGGAGTTCCAACTTTCACGATCAGGACCATCCATGAGGCTCATACATGTGGAGGCATTGCTCATCTTGGCCATCAGCAAGCCTCAGTTCAATGGGTTGCAACCTCTGTGGAGCAACGGCTCAAAGAGAATCCTAACTACAAGCCAAAGGAGATCCTGGAGGAGATTCACCGGGTTCATGGCATAACCCTATCCTACAAGCAAGCCTGGCGAGGCAAGGAGCGCATCATGGCTGCTATGCGAGGATCCTTTGAAGAAGGGTACCGCTTGCTTCCTCAATATTGTGAGCAGGTTAAAAAGACGAACCCAGTGAGTATTGCATCTGTTTATGGAAATCCAACGGACAACTGCTTCCAGCGTCTATTCATATCATTTCAGGCGTCAATTTATGGTTTTCTAAATGCTTGCCGGCCACTTCTGGGGCTTGATAGGACATATTTGAAGAGTAAATATCTGGGTACGTTGCTTCTGGCTACTGGTTTTGATGGTGATGGTGCTCTGTTTCCTCTAGCATTTGGTGTTGTTGATGAGGAGAATGATGATAATTGGATGTGGTTTCTGTCTGAACTTCGTAACCTGCTTGAGATCAATACAGAAAACATGCCCAGGCTTACGATTTTGTCCGACAGGATGAAGTGCATTGTGGATGGGGTTGAAGCAAATTTTCCAACTGCTTTTCATGGATTTTGCATGCGTCACTTGAGCGACAGCTTCCGTAAGGAGTTCAATAATACAATTCTTGTTAATCTTTTATGGGAATCTGCTCATGCTCTAACGGTCATTGAATTTGAAGCAAAGATTTTAGAGATTGAAGAGATATCACAAGATGCTGCATATTGGATCAGACGAATTCCGCCTCGCTTGTGGGCTACTGCTTATTTTGAGGGCACACGATTTGGGCATTTGACAGCTAATATAATCGAGTCATTGAATACCTGGATTTTGGAGGCCTCTGGGCTTCCAATAATCCAGATGATGGAATGCATTAGAAGGCAGTTAATGACTTGGTTTAATGAACGCCGAGAAACCAGTATGCAGTGGACGTCAATACTAGTGCCTACTGCAGAGAGGCGTGTCGCGGAGGCTCTTGAGCGTGCGCGTACTTATCAGGTTCTTCGTGCTAATGAAGCTGAATTTGAAGTTATATCTCATGAAGGAACAAATATTGTTGACATTCGCAACCGCTGCTGCCTTTGTCGTGGCTGGCAGCTGTATGGTTTGCCCTGTGCACATGCTGTGGCGGCACTTCTCTCTTGTAGGCAAAATGTCCACCGATTTACAGAGAGCTGTTTTACAGTGGCGACTTATCGGAAGACATACTCGCAGACAATTCATCCCATTCCTGATAAATCTCTCTGGAAGGAGTTATCTGACGGAGACCCAAGTGCCAACAAAGCTGTCGAGATTATAATTAACCCACCTAAGTCGCTCCGACCACCTGGACGACCAAGAAAGAAGAGAGTTCGTGCTGAAGATCGTGGCCGCGTGAAGCGAGTAGTGCATTGTAGTCGCTGCAATCAGACAGGCCACTTTAGAACAACATGTGCGGCACCCATATAGCTCGTCTCTCTTGACAATTAGTTTGCTGCTTACAAGTGTCCATGTCCTCTGTGCAAATGAATTTGCTTTGTGATTATTTATGTAGTTTTTCATTAGTTAGATTGTTAAGTAAATTCTCTATTTGTTAGACAGTTGTGTGAAGTAAGCTCATTATGTGCTATCATAAATGAACGTCCACGCCAATAATTCAATGTTAAGCAGGAATTAGTCGTTGTAGTATTCAAATTTTGGAAAGTGGTTTTTCCAGGTATCTGTGCACAGCTTTTAAATGCTACAGCTCAATAAAAATGTTGGTGTTAAAGGTGCCTAAATAAACGCCAAAATGATGAACAACTTTTTTTTGTTTTTTTGTATTTTCATATAGTAGCTAAATAAGTAACCCTGATTCAGAGAGTCCTTGAAGCAGAACAAATTGAACAAAGAGCTGAAAAACACACAAGAGGGATGTCCCTTATTGAAGCATAATTGCAAGTATAAAATATACAAATGCTCACTTGGTTTACAAATTAAAACAATCAACTTAAATGGACGATACAGAAGGAACCAAATTCTTTACATAAACTGCTGCTATCTTAAAAATACCAGAGAGGGACAACACACCGTGAACAGGCGCTTATACACAAGGCCTGCACATTGACTAGGAAAATCACCATTTGTGATGGCCATGAATACCACCATTATTCCTTAATTCCTTGACCCAGAAATCGCGGTATTATGAAAGCCACATCATGAATGACCTTCAGTGAAAACTGTAAGGCTCCATCTTTATTTTCTAGTTTTTATTCTCATTTGAGGGAGTTACTCTTTCTGGTTCCCATACTTGATGTCTTTTTGATCTTCATTTTAGCACGATTTATATATTCCGAAAAAGCATCCATACCACTGTTGTCTTTCTTTGTGCAATGAACACTATCTGGTTCTGAGACTTGCTTCTCACTTCCAAGGCCCGACAAAGTTCTCATCTTCGCCTTCGCACGATTAATGTAGTCTGAAAACATTTCATTCTTTGCCAAGTTTGATTTCTTGCCTTCAATTTCAGCATTTGTTCGACCATGACCGCCCTTCTCAGCGGTTTCTTTTGATGGAAACGCCATCTTGTTCTCCGCAACTTCGACTCTCTGAGTTTTGGTTTGGACACCACTAGCTTTCATGGGGTGATCACGAGTTGAGGCCAAAATATTTGTAGTAGTTTTCGCAGGCATGTGCTCATGTTCGTGGTCCGAAACATTGTTGTCCTTCTGACAGGTGCAACAGAAAATTGCTGTGACCACTTTGCCACAAACACTCGGTGAGTTTGAGAGATTCTTACTTTTATCACTTGACATGTTGAGGGAAAGTGAGGAGTAAATTTGTTTCTGATTTTGGAGATAAAAACAAATAACAACAGGTGTGAAAAAACTGCTAAACTTGGGCAAACTGCAACTTTGAAAGGAATGGAGTGGATGGTATTTATCTTTGCAAATGGATGGAAAAGAAACTACCAAGTTGTGTTTAATTTACAGAAGAGTTTGGCTAAGATTCCAAATAAAAGAAAACGTCTCTATTTTGTAGGTGACATGATGTCTGGTATCATATTCCTTTTTCTAGCCCCTATTAGAATCTAGAAGGTACAACCAATACAGCAAAATCGACGAAAGACATTAAGTTTTTTACATAAATGTTATAACATGACAGCTTGCTTCAGAGGAGAAGGAAGTGAAAAAGTTGAGCAACATTATCAGAACAGCATCTAGTAAATGGCACTTTTTGACAAATGAAGCATTATTGTTTCGTCAGTTCTGGAATATACTTTATTGGTGATGTATGCCATTAGATAACGTGATTCCACTAATCATTATTAAAGTGACTAAATTCATGATTTTGAAGTGATAAATCACAATTTTGTTCTTATAGAACCTTAAACGAATTTATAACCATTAAAATATTCGACTATATCTTTGTGTTTACTTGTCTTCCTAACTTTGTGACTGAAAATTATGCCTCAGTTATTTATTACCAAATAAGCATCTTGCATGACGTTACATATAGAATAATTTCTGTTACCATGTGAAGTATTCGGGGGCAAATAATTTAGAGGTTTAGTCACAAATATCTTGTAGCAAAATTAGAAATCTTCTCTCTTCGTGTGTGTGTGTGTGTGTGTATATATATATATATATATATATATTTCTTTAGTCCCTCCGGTGAGAGGTCCCTCTGACGTAACACATAGTCATAAAAACGTAACATGACAATTATTGAACGTAATATCAACGTCAGTGAGAAGTAGCACCAAAAAATTTAGTCATCTAAAGACTATATTACTTCTCTCCAACATCGATGTTACGTTTAATAATTGTCACGTTACGTTTTTATAACTACATATTACGTCGGAGGGATGGTCCCTCCAAAGGGATTGAAGAAAAAGGCTATATATATATATATATATATATCATAATCTTTTGCTAGAATCTTTTCAATGTCTTTTACTTTCTTGAGGGGTTCTCTTTTTCAATGTCTGGTCATGTTATAGTCATGGTCCCCAGAAAAGGGTGATGAGAGAACCCGTCTGGATTGTCATACCCTTGAAAATGAGGCAAAAGGATCAAAACTTTTATAAATCATTTGGTTGAATTCTTCAGCAATAACAGTAGAATCAATGGTAAAATAAGACTTCTATACTTTTGTTGGAAAATTTAACAGAAAATAATACATAGCCTTAAATGAGTAAATAAATGAAACAAGGAATTAGATAAAGAAGGAACCAAATTGTTTCACACAAGGAACAAATCTTACAATCAAAGAGAGGACAGAAACCATTAACATAAGCTTAAACCGTGAACAAACTCATTATTGATGAGATAAAGAAAAAAATATTTTCAAGCAAATCATTCCCTTTTCCTGAAGGAGATCATCCTATTGCTTCCAATACTTGATGTCTTCCTGATCTTGAGCTTAGCCCGGTTAATATAATCCGAAAACACATCATTAGCATCAACTTTCCTCTCTGCATCATCATGATCATCAACCTCATCTGCTTTTGGGTACGCAATCTCTCCACCATCACTGCCAACATTTGACATGGCTCTGATCTTGATCTTGGCATGGCTTATGTACTCAGAAAAGGCCTTGTTGACATCCGAACCTGATCTGCTGTTGCCTTGTTGATGAACATGATATCCAAAGTTTGGAGCACCATAAGCCGCATTTTGCTTGTGTTTTTCCTGCTCTAAAAGATGGGTTGGTTTCAACTCAGTGGTCGGATCAGAAAATGAAGGGGGATAGTCTTGTTTCTGGCGTGAGTGACGGTTTGTTCGAGAAGTCGGAAATATACAACAGAAGATTTCCTTACAACCACAACTATAGTGATCCTCACTGTTTTCCATGTTGCTATGCAAGGAAATAAGAATGAGGGAGGTGACTTCTGTTGTATGCCAATGAAGTAGGAAATTATTCTGTGTGATTTTTGTGAGGCTTTGAGAGGCCATTATATATTATGCATGAAAGAATAGGAAAGAGATCAAACATTATTATATTTTTGGGTAGCTAAAACATGAGGAGAATCTTCCTTTGATCCTTGTTTCAAAACCAGATATTATATGAAGAAATGGGGAAATGAGGAAAGTTTGGCTAAGATTCCTATCTAAAGGGACAGCTTTCACAGTTTTTCCAACTGATGTGATGTTTGGGATCATATTCCCTCGTTTTCTCTGCTTCAATTTTCCTCGCCAACCAAAGCCTTAGAGAAAGTTATGCACCTAACGCTGCCTAAACACTTAACAAAATAAATAATAAAAGAAATCCAAAATTTATTTAGCTGTTTTTACCCAAAAGAAGAGTTTCAAAGTCTAGTTTTCAAAAGAAATGAAGACTTGAGAAAAAGCATCTGGGAAGTATACGAGGAAAAAACGGGAGTCATCTGTAAGGTTACTTAAGGCACAGAGAAGTCATGATTCCTCCAGTCCATCACAGTTGTTAGCAATGAGGGAGAGACGGACTTTATCATTGCTAACACCTAGTGGTTTGAAACCAGAAAAAGCAAATATTCTCTTGGAGAACAATTCAATGATAGACTGGTAGAATCATTGACTTCTCTGTGCCTAAAGTAACCTTGTGGATGACTCAGATGCTTTCTCTCAAGGCTAGCTGGTAGAAATAATCAAGCATGTCTCTCCCATATTGCTAAGAACTGTAATGTAGTTGGTAAAGATTCAGAGAAAAGCATTCCAAAAGTTTGAAAATTTTGAACGAAATCAGCTTTAAGTAACTCTTATAACTTAACACTTGAAGTTTCCTATCCAATGTATACATGATGTTTGTTGTTGGTTAATTATTAGCTGTACATATTCTCATTAAGACTTTGTAAAATAAACGAATTAAGTAATGTTACAAGTAAGGTAATCAACGAACATATGCATATGATTTTGCATTTCGCGCAACATTTTTCTATTTCTTCTTCAAGAAAGAAGGGGGAAAAAAGACTAGGCGTAAAAAAAAAAAAAGTGAGACAAATGCTATTTTGCCTGTACAGAAGGAGTTTTTCTTCAAGTAAATGATGAAAGGCGCCAACGGTGCCTAACGTTGCAACTCACATGGCGTGGTCAGTTATAAATGTATATGGGGCCAATGTGAGACTCGACTTATATAAGATGTGGTGCCGGATACCAATGATGTTGAAAAGACAATTCTCATGGAAATTAAGCACAAGCATATATATTTGATCCACGAGACTAAAAAGGTTGTTCTAAGGGCTAAAACTGAAAGGGCAAGGTTGAAAACTTAAACTTGAAGAGAACCAGCAAGTTCTGACGTCTTTACCGTATCTTGTAACACCACTTTTTCGAGGAAAGACGGCAGCCTTTGAACAAGTAATAGGCATTGTAACCAATCTTCAGACCAAAATACAAAATGGGAATGGAAAAGGACAAGAGAACACTATTTGTAGCCAAATTAGCAAGCCCTGAATTGTCAGGGAAGACTGCAAGTGAACCATGCACAAAGGCCAGCGCTATTCCCACAAGTGACAACTCTGTTAAGACAGTCACACAGTATATTGGGTACGTGAAACACAGCCGTCTAGGCCAAGCTGCAGCCAAAAAGTGGACAAACATGGAAGCCGCTGAGCAACCGAAAGCCAGAGAATCAAACAACAGAAACATCTTGAAAGCCTTTTCTCCGCTCAAAATTGCCATGCCTTTCTCGTTGTATCCGCCGGGCATTGTGAAGGCTGCTGCAAACGTAACCATCGCTATGATTGTTGACGCCAACAAATTAAGGCCTGCCATGTTCTTAAGATCTAGAGAGTTTGTTTCTGGATCATCTTCTTTGTAAAAGTTCTTTCTTGCAATGTAATTACTTTCTCCAACCATTTCCTCCTTTACTTCACTTTCTGTGTCTTTCAGTTTCTCATGATCTTTGACATAAATTTTCTGTGCTTCTGTAGTCTGTCTGATCACCTTTTGTTCCAAACTTGGTAGAGCTCCCTTTATCTCAAAGGCTGCCATACTCAGAGTTTTAAGCTGTTCCAAAGAAAATAAACTTGTTAGAACTTTCCATAACCTTTATTATTAGTAGATACTAAAAAGTTTAAACCATCCGTTATGATATTGAGAATTAGCTTACTATTTCGAGCTCTTTAAGAATCTTGCTCGATTGAACAATATCAACGGCGGTCATTCCAGCCTTGTTTAGAGCCCCTTTGTCAACTCTTGGATCCCTTGCCAGCATTTCCAAAATCTTGGCATGTCCTTGAAGGGCAGCGAGATGAAGAGGCGTATTTCCCTCTTTATCTTGCTCATTTATAAGATCTTGAAAAGCCAGTGTCTGAAGGAAGAATTTTACTGCATTTTTCTTTCTACTTTCCACAGCAACATTAAGAGCTGTCCGATCTTTGTCATCCAACAACTCACAAGTATCCGGGCATTTCGTTATTATTGATCTCATCACACCAACATGTCCTTCCTTGGCTGAAATGTGAAGTGCAGACATGCCTTCTTTGTCCTTTATGTACACAATGGAAGAATGGTTGATCTCCAAAAATAGTTCCACAACTTCCATGTTGCCCAAGTGTGCCGCGTAGTGAAGAGGAATCCAACCGAAGTCATCAGCTTCCACCATTGAAGATGGGCATTTTCTCAATACCTTTCCCACAAAATCTGCTTAGCAAGAGGGCATACTTTTTTAGATTTTTCATATTAAAGCATATTAATCATGATAAGTGCTGTTAGAGCTCACAAGACATAGTTTACATACATATATTTTAATATTTTTCAGTCTATATATCTTGTCGGTCCAAATATTTGATTTCTAGACATGTTATTAAATAAGCTAATCAATCATGAAAAAAAAAATGAGGAATTTGTGAATGAAATGCTTTACCTGGTCCTGTGATAGTTAAATCATACTTTGAGCGAGGAAACTTGAAATGAGAAGATATGAATTGATGAATATAGGAACATTTATTCCATAATGGATGAGTCTGTTTGTCAGTGGACTTGAACTGATTACCTTCAAGAAATTAAATCAACAACAGTGAATCTTAGCCTAAATAATGTTAACAAAAAACGAAAGACAGATTAAGAGAAAAATAAATCATTTAATAAGGGATAAGTACCAACTTTTATGCGTGCGAATCACCGCTGCATGCAAAGCATTCATGCCGTTTCTTCCCCCATAAGAGCACTTTGGAGCAGCCTCAAGAATATGAAGAGCAACTTTGTAAAACCCTCTATCCACAGCCAAGAACAGAGGAGATTCTCCAACGTTATTGACAAAACATGTCAAGTCTCGGTCTTCGTCAATCAGCAACATGGCAACCTCGTAATGATCATTTCGAACAGCTTCATGAAGAGCTGTGTCGCCCTTCAAGTTAGCCATCCTCAATAGGCTTATGTCAGCTTCAAGCTCTCGCTCTTTCGCCTTGTTTAGTAATAAACGACTCATTTCCAAGTGTCCTAACCTGGCCGCAATGTGCAGTGCAGTATTTCCCTTCATGTTCGTCTCATGAAGAAGCGAAGAATTCGAGTATAGAACATCTTCCGCGAGCTTGCTCTGCCCGGACTTTGCTGCAACATGAAGAATGGTGTTGTTTTGGGATGTCAGTTGGCCAAGGTATATGTTTGAACCTTCTTCTGTGAGCTTCTCAGACAAAACATTGCTTCCATAAATTGCAGCATTGTATAGCTCAGGATCCATTATTTTTTCTTTTCTTGGATCTCAAGCTTTTATCTTGTGTTCTATCAGTTTCAATACATTTGTAAAACGCATGTGAAATTTATACACCCTCCCTCCATTCATTAAAACATTATTATTTTAGTTCAATTATTTGTTCCTTTCTTTTGGTCAAATATGAGATGACATATATGTATTTTAACTTAAAAAATTCCACAAAGTCTAAACTGGGAATAATAAGTATATGAGAAGAACATGAAATCAGCTGCCTTTAATGAGAAGGTCAACTTTAAGCAAAGATTATTTTAAGTATCAACCTCTAAACTCAAGCTTATTCCTAGAGAGTTATTTTTATTAAAACAAATAAATGAATGCAAATCAGCTTTGATTTGCCATTCTTTATTTAGTTTTTACTAATAACATGTAAATCTGAAGCTTTTGTCTTGCGAAACTTGTACTGTAATTTTGATTTGCCACAATGCTACTCATACAAAGTGAAGATATGACAATCTCAAATTGTGAAACAACCGGAAATTTTGCTATATAACTCAAATTATATACATGCGTAAGTATTTGTTAGGTTGTACTCAAATTAATATTGTTGATTTTTTTTTTCTAAAGATGGTTCTGAAAAATGGCTTTAGTACTGTTATTTTAATAGTCATCTTGCATGTAACGTGTCATTATGATATTTATTAAAATAAAAAAAAGAGCTACTCTTGTTCTTGTAATCTCTCATGCGCGTTGAAGATACTTGACAAAATTCAGTTTGCAACTGAATTAACTATATTTTTTTTCTTGTCATCTCTCATGCGCATTAAAGATATTTGACAAAATTCAGTTTGAAACTGATTTAATTATTTTTGTTTTTTGTTCTTGTAATCTCTCATGCGCATTGAAAATATTTAACAAAATTCAGTTTGCAACTGAATTAACTAATTTTATATTATTATTTTATTTAAACTGTGATGGCCTTAGCCTGATTATGGCATTCTCTATGTTCAAGCTGCCTGATTTTGGCCTCGTTGACTTTTATTGTGTATAGTATTTTAATAGTAAATCATTTCAAGCTCATATTGCCTATTTGGGATTGTTTATAAACCTAACTAGGAAGCATGTAGATGTTGGGTCATTTTTATGTTACCACATGAAAAGGGTGTGCCAAACATTGTCACAAAGACTTTTAAGAAAAGATGCATTTGGGTGACAAAATGCATTCTTCTAGGGAAAAAAAAAAAAAGAAGAAAAGTTGCATAAGCTTAAAGGTTATGGCTTGTTTGATTTGATGTTTACTGGGCTTTAAATTCTTAATCCTTGTGTTTTGTTAGCTTTCTTTGAGGGAACTAGATGTAGTCTTATTTTCTTCATTCCTTTTAATAAAAAGGACCGGTTCTTTTGCGTCTGCAGAAATCATATGAAACAGAAAATATTGGTACTCATAGTATTGACTCTTTCAACGGCATTGACTAAATTATGAGTACTGTTTATGAGGCTGACTTTATATTTAATAGGAAAACATATAGTATTTTCTGTTCATTTTTTTTAACAGTCAAATCTAATCATACCGTACAACGCTTTATCAGGTTTCTCGATTGTAGAAACAGTTCAAATTTCATCAACTTGGATGATTTTTCCATTATTCAATTATGATATATTGCTTGTACTGTATGACCAAAAAGAGATTGGCCGTATAATAGTTCCGGGATCTTATAATAGCGTTATTAAACAGGGACAAAAGAACACTCATCTAATGGTGGCGACTCTGTTGCGGCTCACTTTCACAGCAGCTTTCACTATACCTGGAGGATATGAGATAATGAGAACAAGGGAAAAAGAAAAGGGCATTGTCCGTTTTGTCAAACAAGTCATTTTTATGGGTGATTGCAGTATTTTTCTCTTTATTGTAAATTAACAATTGGAATCTTTGTTCTATTGTTGATTGGTATACTGTCCAAGGGTGGCCATTTCTCACGCCAACATGCAGAGCAAGAATCTTCCTTGACGAAGTTTTCCATTCCCAACATTCTCTTCACATCAATCCTTTGCCAGTTTTTGATGTCTCCTGGGCCTACTTCCGTTGCACCGGTTACGAAGATTCGAACCATTTCTGTGCTCCCAATTCCGGCTGCTATGTGATAAGTGTCCCCATCGGCATTTTCCTTGAGAAAAAACAAAAGGGTCTTTGCTAAATAACTTGTTCTGGTTTTGGTGGAAGAAAGGGCTTGTAAAGCTTTAGGTTCTAAGCTGTGTTATGTGATGACTTCTATAGTTTACTCTACACTAGTATAAACACATGTGACATGACTTTATGGTTGATTTTTTTCATCAGTCTATCCTATGGTTTGACTTGCAAGGCTTGAACCTTCAACCAAAAGACGTGGCTTGCTTTCCCTTGAAAGAAAATTAAAAACCACCAAGAAGCTACATTTTCTATAAAACCTACATCCTCCAGCAACATCTTTTCAAATTGGAAAGGGGGTGGGCCTTTCTTTATACCTCCCCACTCACCCTGTTAGGTGGGGCTATGGTCCGAGATGGGTTTAAGAAGTGCTTCCTGCAAAACGTTGAAAAAATGCTCCTCCTCCTATTTCCTAGCTACCTATGCATCTATTCCCTTCACCGGTTGATCGACGAATCCATTGGCACCTGGAGCAGTATATGTAATTGAAAGATATGCCACTAGACCCGGTGCTCGTTATAAAGGCTACGAACCTTACAACGGGCTATAGCTTCGTTGGAATTGATTCTGATCGAGGTAGTGTAAAGAAAGTATGTTAAGGTTAAGAAGTCACTTAGTCGAACTATAAAGAAAGAAAAGGAGGCTAAGATTACGAAGTAAGGTCAGCTAAGGTTTTGAAATCGCTTAGCCGTTAATTAATAAAGTAGTAGTGAGATGTCGGTACGGAGTTGCGTCATATAGACTAGGCTAAGGAACAGACTTCATCTCTTCACTTACACATTACACTTCCACTGAGTCTAACGAGGCACCTGAGTATCACTAAAACTCTCCAATCGCCATTAGCAAGAGGGCTGCTGGAAAACAGCAGTTTGAAGCAAGTCAACATTGAGGAAAGCATAGAACTTAGGAGGTTCTTTCCCTTTCCCTGTTTGTTTTTCATCTTTTCCTTCTAGTTGGTCAAATTTGCAAAGTCTAATTTCGCTCTCTAAATTTTAACGTATCTTTAGGTGCAAGAACTTAGAAAATTCTACGGTTCAAGATCCGTATTAGATTCTATCAGTTTTGCATACTTTTTATTTTGATGTGATTTTGACCAAATTTCATAATCATGCACTACTAGTAAAAGTGAAAGCCCTAAAAATTTTAGCAACTAGCTAGTTTGGAATTTAATTCTATCACATTAAGCATGTTAATTGGGTTTGACTATTTTAACACAGTTGATGTGACTAAATACTATAGTGCATGCATGATGTGACAATTTTTCATGGAAACCATCCTTTCTTCAATTTTCTTATGTGCCTACAAGATTTATCCAAAAATAAATAAAAAGTTGTATGGTGGTGAAACTTATGTTAATCATGATCTTCCTAAAATTATATAAACAAATTTCCCATTAATTTATTTACGTGAAAAACAACTTTCATCTCTACAAACACCCCACAATAAGGAGAAACACACAACAACCACCCATCATAAGAGTATAATGTGCAAGACTCGACGAACTTGGCATCACCACACGCAAGCCAGAAGTAAAAGCAACAATCATTCCAAGGATAGAAATATACGTAAGAGTGGCTGCGATTCTTGTGAACCGCAGAATAAGATGATAATTATGCTCCGCGGAGCTGAAAAACTGAAGCAGAACTGAGGCACTTGAGCCGTAAAAAGCTAGGGAATCGCTACAACAAACACTTTGAAAAATGCTTTTTCTGATAAAACCGCAATTCCACTTGTAGAACTGTTAATTAATAAAGTAGTAGTGAGGCGTCAGTACGTAGTTGCGTCAGCTGTAGATATAGAGTAGGCTAAGGAACAAAACTCATCTCTTCGCTTACACTTCCACTGAGTCTAACGAGGCACCTGAGTATCACTAAAACTCTCCAATCGCCATTAGCAAGAGGGCTGCTGGAAAACAGCAGTTTGAAGCAAGTCAACATTGAGGAAAGCATAGAACTTAGGAGGTTCTTTCCCTTTCCCTGTTTGTTTTTCATCTTTTCCTTCTAGTTGGTCAAATTTGCAAAGTCTAATTTCGCTCTCTAAATTTTAACGTGACTTTAGGTGCAAGAACTTAGAAAATTCTACAGTTCAAGATCCGTATTAAATTCTATCAGTTTTGCATACTTATTATTTTGATGTGATTTTGACCAAATTTTATAATCATGCACTACTAGTAAAAGCGAAAGCCCTAAAAATTTTAGCAACTAGCTAGTTTGGAATTTAATTCTCTCACATTAAGCATGTTAATTGGGTTTGACTATTTTAAGACAGTTGATGTGATTAAATACTATAGTGCATGCATGATGTGACAATTTTTCATGGGAACCATCCTTTCTTTTATTTTCTTATGTGTATTTATGCCTACATGATTTATCTAAAAAAAAAAAAAAGATTTATGGTGGTGGTGAAATTTAAGTGCCGTGTTTGGAATTGATCTCGTTTTTATTTTTCATGTTTTTTGAGAAAGAAAAAATGAAAACGTTTTCAAAACGGCGTTTGGCGCAATAAAGACAAAAAATGGAAATGAAAACGATTTTTTAGTTTAGTGTAAAATAAGAGAGAAATAAAAAACGACTTTTAATCGTTTTTTTTTTTATTTTCGTTTTCTCCTCTCTCGAGCACAGAGAGAGAGAGATATTAATGGGTTTTCAAAAATAATTTATGTCTGAGATTGAAAACATTTTCATTTTCATTTTCATTTTCATACAAAAAATAAAATCATTTTAGAACGAGTTCTAAATGCCCTAAGTTAATCATGATCTTCCTAAAATTATATAAACAAATTTCCCATTAATTTATTTACGTGAAAAAACAACTTTCATCTCTACAAACACCCCACAATAAAGAGAAACACACAACCACCACCCATCATAAGAGTATAATGTGCAAGACTCGACGAACTTGGCATCACCACACGCAAGCCAGAAGTAAAAGCAACAACCATTCCAAGGATAGAAATATACGTAAGAGTGGCTGCCATTCTTGTGAACCGCAGAATAAGATGATAATTATGCTCCGCGGAGCTGAAAAACTGAAGCAGAACTGAGGCACTTGAGCAGTAGAAAGCTAGGGAATCCGCTACAACAAACACTTTGAAAAATGCTCTTTCTGATAAAACCGCAATTCCACTTGTAGAACCGTTGCTTTCATAGCCTCCCGGTATTGTGAAAGCCGCTGTGAATGTTACCGTCGCGATGAGAGCCGCTACGAGAAGATGCGTGTTGGAGATTTTCCTTAGCCGGTGAGATTTCATGGCTTTATCCATTGTTGGGAGTTTAAATGTTGAAGGATGATGACCAAAGAGGTCTTTGTTGTCGTCGTTTATCGCCTGTCCATGATTTGATCCTTTTTTGCAGCCTGTGATTTGGTGACTCCCACATTCCACTCTGTAGACAATTGATTGCAGACTTTCTCCCCCACCTTGTTTTTCCAACTTCTTCACAAGCCAACACTGAAAAAAACAATGTCAATCACATGCTGTGAAACTAGTCCAAGACTCCAATTGCCTAATTTATAGGAGTTCTACACAATGCATATTTACTGCTACTTTTCAGTAGTAGTTGTCATTTTTAAACCTTATTCCACCTTATATAAGATCAAACAGTATCTAAATCTGATTGAATTCGATGAACATCTGACCAAGTCGTTTATTCTACCATAGCAATCTCTAATATTGACTAGCAACTAAATAAAGATTTTCATCAAGTTTTGCCGGAAGTGCATACGATTTTCACATGATTCGATGTTCATAAAAGTAAAGCATTGATGATAAGTGTTCCTTACCACAAAAACACCTAAGAAGAAATTAAGGTAGTTACTAAAGAAGGAAAGATTTCTTTATGTATATGCCGTATTAATCAGAGGCCTACCTTGATGAGTTCTCCTATATTTGCATTTGTTCGAACTATGTCAATGGGCTTCAAATGCTCAAGATTTGTGGCCCTCTTGTCGACTCTACGATCATCGACAAGGATCATCATAATCCTATGCTTTTTAAGGCCGGCAGCTAAATGCAGTGGTGTGTTTCCATCTTTATCTGGGACATTTAGCATGAACTCTAGCTTTGGAGTCTTGAGAATGTACTTAACAACTTTGAGTTTCCCATTGAAAACTGCAACATGAAGAGCTGTCCAACCTCTATCGTCAACTAAATCTGAGGCCTCCGGTCTTTGGTGAATAATTTCGTTCATTACACGGACATGGCCTTCTTTAGCAGCAATGTGTAGAGCAGACGAGCCTTCCTTGTCCCTGAGGTATGCAACAGAAGTACACTTTTGTTGGAGAATAAGTTTAGTGGCTTCAAGATGACCCAAGTATGCAGCAAAATGAAGAGGTGTCCACTTGATCACTTTGTCTTGTTCTTCGAGTAAAGCGGCCTTTTGAGTTTCTTCTCTCTGTAGTAGTAGTTCCACAATATCTAGCATTAGGTAGGCACCATCAAACTAGGATTATGATATTTTTTTGCAGAAAAGTCATGAATAACACAATTTCACCATTGATCAATAGTAATACTAAATTACCAATTTCCTTGTTTTGAGAAGAAATTTTGAAGTACTCCTCTACATGCAAAACAAAGCCCCTAATCAAGCTTCGCAAGTTCTCGAGCGACAAATCTGGCACATGATGTTCCAAAAATCTAGCTGCAACAAATATGAGATCAGAGTACGTTTCAGAAAGACATATCTGTGGATTAAAAGAGTCATTAATTTGAAGTGCACAAAAAAGAGCCCAAAAAAGTGAGGAAATAGTTTAAGCTGCAAACGTTGACCAAAAAAAAAACAAAAGGTCTACCAAACACAAATTCCTTTTGAAACTAGAAACTAAAATATAACAACAGTTACAAATTTGATCTGGCAAAATTTACCATGATGTGTCCGAATCACAGCTGCATGCAAAGCATTCATACCATTAGAACCGCCGCAAAGAGGTTGATCATAGAATCGAGATTTTTCTATAATTAGTTTGGCAATATCAAGAAAACCTCCCTCCACAGCAAGAAAAAGTGGAGATTCGTTAGCCCCATTCAACAACTCCAACAGCTCCAAATCAGCATTAATCAACAACTTAGCCACGCCAACGTGACCATTCCTCACCCCAACGTGCAAAGCAGTGTCTTCCTTCACCAAATCCCTCGTTCTCAGCATCGTCCTCACGTCAATCTGCTGTCTCTCGATGTCCCCGCGCGAGGCAACATTGATGAGGAGTTGAACCATTTCTGGATTCCCAACTTTGGCTGCTATGTGTAAAGGACTTTCCCCTTCCGCATTTGCTTTGAGAAGTAGCATTGGACACAAGTCAAGGACTTGCTCCGCAAACTTCTTTTGATTGAATCTTACGGCAACATGAAGTACTGTTCTCATCTGGGGTGTGCGTTGGTTGAGAATCTGGTGTTCTTTCAGGCCCTTAATTGGGTCGAAGTTTCCCAATTCTGCAGCTTCAAACACTGTTCTATCCATCATCATTAGTGGGTCTCACTCAGAAATAAACGATTCTTTCTGTGTCTTTTAGGATTTGGATGGAAAGTGAGGATCATAGAAAGGAAATTAAAGGCAACATGTGTTATGTTAATAGGAGCATGTGGGGAATTCATGAATTTCTTTTTTTGGTTTGACAGTTTCAACGTCATTGCGACGTAGACCGGAGCTTGCATGGCTGCATCTCAGAAACTTACTGAAAAAAGATTGTCTTTAGTTTTTTTTCCTTTTTTTTTTTAAAGTAAGAATCTGATTATTGTTTTGTAAGTCGTTCAACGTATAAGGGTATGCATATGCACCTCATATTTTCCTTTCAAAGAAAAAAATGGTGGTCCACCAATTGGAACTATGAAAGTCCTGTGACATTCTAACCACGTTGCAATCCTTATGTTTTACCAAGGACAAAATAAGAGAGAAAGAGGAAAATAGACTAAGACTTGAGATAATTAAAATTAATAGGTCAATAGTTTACATAAGTTAATAAATAGGCCAAATTAATATTTTTGTCAATAACTTGTCTGGTTATGAATCATAACTTGACAAGTTATTGTCCATAATTGTCCATAACTTCTCTGGTTATGAACCATAACGTGACAAATTTATCCATAATTTATCTGATTATGAACCATAACTTGACAAATTATAACCTATTAATTTCTATAATTAAAAATTAGTATATATACTTTCTTAAACTTTTCACATTGGCCTATTTTCTACTATTTTCCACAAAACAATCGTGACTGAGAAGTACAAAGAATACAAAACCGTCCAGTTATTCCGAAGGGAGGGAACTTTTATACTGCCAAGGAGAAGAATATTTTATATTACTACTTATGAGTTATGAACTTCAAACATTAGAGTTATATAAGTTACTACAGACTTATTAATTTATAAGGAATGCGTGACAACTTACGAAATTAGGGTTGGTTTTTATAAATTTTGAACATTGAACTTATAAGAGTTCCTTTAAAAAAAAGCTCATAAAAGTTACAACAAACTTGTGAACTAATAAGGTGCCGGCACCTTAGAAGGACCTTACTCCCAATAAATGCAGCAGCAACCAAAAACAAGAAAAACAAAAAAACAAAAAACAACAAAAAACAAAAACAAAAACAAAAAAACAAAATTGTTTTCAAGGGCCATGACTTAACAATTTTCTTTCCTTCTTATTATATTACGGTTGTTGCAAGACTTGGATTGAGCAAATCTCGACTTAGATTGACTTTGAACGTCCATATAATGTATTCCAACGTTCAACAGATTGACAATGAAAAAGAAAACCACAACGTTCAACAGATGAAAAGAGAGTTGAAGATTGACAGAATTAAAGATCACTGAAAAATATGGAATTAGATCAAATTCTATCGTTAGCCTAACGGGTACGATAAAATCTAACATTTATAAGATTTGAAATGAAGTCAAAAACAAGAATTACAACTGTCACAGAGAAAGAGAGAACAAAAAGAACTATTCGGCCAAGTTCACAATAATGCTACTTTATGTTTTCAACAATAGCAAAACAAACCGGCATGCCCTACTTAGTATCCATAGTTTGTTCCATAAACTGAGCCATAGCCCCCTGCAGTATGCCCTGCGTGCCCTGCATTGTTTGGAGGCGATGCATACACGGAACCGTGAGCTGCATAAGAATTATAGCCTTGGTCTGTTGGAGCAGCAGGTTGGGTTTGTACTGATCCACCGCCACCAGCAGCATCAGCAATGAAATTCTGCAAAACCAAAAAAAAATGAAAATATAAGCCCTAATCTCATGTTGACATGATAAGTTACAAAGTACAAGTGGAACAGAATTATGAAATATGAATTTAGAAATAAATCAAGGGCAAGGAGAGTTGCCTGTATCAGTTGCTGAGCTGTTTGGACCTGAGAAGCACTTCCACTAATTTCAACTGTCATTTCTGTGGGATTACCCCTAGTCTCCTGTATTGTAACGGTGGCACCGCTAGCACGTCTAATGTAGCTTATGCTTGAACCAGAAGTTCCTATAACAGCATCAGCATAAGATAGTGGAATCTGCATTTGCTGTGTGATCTGCCAAAAATGGGGAGGAATCACATATATCAGCTTCAAGTTGGGAAAAGGAACCCCTGGCAATGTCGCCACTTGTACAGTCATTAAACTAGGTGGGTTCCTTATGGACAAATCTGGTAAATATCATGTTTCAAAACCCGATTACAAATGACACAGATCATAACATCTCACGTATTAGGCAAAAAAATACATTTTTAAGAAGTTTCTTTTTCACAACTGTGTCATATTTATCAAATAACCAAAAGATGTGAATTAAAAGTTGTTGCACTATCAATTTCCATAATTCACAACGCATTTAAGCAAAAATAGGAACACAAAAATAACCTGCGTAACCATTGACGGTGCTCCTTGTGCATTAGCCGGTGCATGGACACCCATAGGAGCCTCCCTCCCATATGCTAATATACCATGATGAGGCTGTTTATCAATGGGTGGTGGCAAGTCTGCCGGAGGATAATAACTGTCCATTTGTCTTGGAGGTGGTGGCATGTATTGAGGATTATGTCCGAATCCAGGGCCTCCACCAGCATTTGGCGGAACTCCTTGAGGTGGACCCCATGACTGAGGTGGTGGCATGTGGTCCATCTGGGGATTCGCCATTTGCATCTAATGGAAACATGTAATAAGCACATATTATCCACATTAACACTGAAAAGCTGTTTGAACTATTACAATGACAATTAAATCTGAAAACTCACATGCATCTCAAAAACCGGAATTATACTGCGGTCAACCAAAAATTTCCTAAGATGGGAGGCAATGAGTTCAACTGCTTTGTGCACACCAGCTGGTTCACCAACAACTTCAACAACCCTATCGTCTTGAAGAGCAAAAATTGGTAGGTCTTCTGCACCAATCATTTCAACAGAAGAAAGTAAGACGACCATATAAACACCAAACCATATCAGAAGGTCACATTATATGGTTTGCAATCACACATAATCAGAAAATATATGACACGTGCCCCCGTTTATTAATCAAATTTTTACGTAAATAACGGAAAAATCTTGGTAGAAAATGAAATATATGAACAGCAACCTGATCCGAGTACTCGAACTATACAATTAGAGGATTCTTGGATGGACTTAACAGTTCCTCCCTGTTTTCCAATTAAGCTTCCTGCCTGTGAAGCTGCAACAAGCAGCCTTGTTGACACTTTTGCTCCCGCGGGTGGTGGAGCATGAGAAGAATCACCATCCAAGCCATCAACAATACGTTTGTGAACCCTCAAAAGACCGTCCATAGCAGGAGGAAGGGAAGAGTCGGGCTCTTCTTTGGCAGATACCATTACCTATTAAAAAGTAACAGTAGCATCAACATACTATAAAGCAATCAACGGCATTTTTACTAGAAAAACAATTCCTAATGAAACGAACGTAAACTAGGGAGGCTGTTGGAAACTCTCTTCCTACAACTAAACACCATTACCCATTAAGGAATAAACATTATGCACGATGCATTAAACCTGGATAAGTTTTTAAGTCTTACTGATTCACTAAAACTGTCTATCAATAATTAATGGCTTATTGTAATTAAATATGTTAAACAATCTCATTTAAATCTTCATCTCGTTTAATCTTCATATCCAACATTAATCTTCAATACCATATTATCACTTATATTGGTTTCTTTTTCCCTGCACACCATTTGCGGCAAGACATCAATCATCCAAGGTATGAAGTTACCAGAAAAATGCAGAGCTCTCGATAGAATTGTACGAGTAGTAAATGTCTTAAAACAGATCTAACTTTTCAGCACTTTGTAATGCTCAATGCTGATCTCTGCACTCTGGAATCTTTGGTTCTTCAAGTTTGGGATCTTATTGATGATTGTGTCGTTGACTAAAAATTTGAGCATAGAACCTGCACAGATCCATCGGTGTTATTACCATAGATGGAATCGTATTCACATTTTAGGATTGCTTTGGATAATACTTCTTTCTGGTTTTCTTTCAGTTACTCTTTTTGGAATTAAAACTACATCCCAGTTTTGCTGTATTAGGAGTGCTTATAACCTTTTTATTTTCTTTGTTTCATTCTCGTGGATTGTTATAGTGATTTTTATACTTTGAGATCTATAAAAATAACATATCTAAATTCGTATAAAGCCTAAAGGAAATGACTTGTCGCAAATTTTTATCCCTACCTCACATCTTAAAACTCTCAATTGAACTAGGAAACTAGCATAACTATGCAATGTACATAAATTATTAAAATAATTCAAGAATGGGGATTGCACCCGATCAGACTAATAATCTCCGACCGGTTGAAAATCACCAGAAGATTTGTTGATTTGATGCATATTACACCAATAAGTTTTATCTCTTTCTCTAATGAACATGATCCTACTAAGTATTACATGTTTCTTATTTCAGACCATCAACCTCAAAAAATAAATTTTGATCCGCTTATTTTATAGTTAAGTTTTTCATTTAGATGGATAGGATCTGCACTATATAGCCTGCTAGTATTGTTCTTCTCATTTTCTTCGATCTTATAAAAGAAAAGTGAGAAACCAAAACATTTATCATACAGTTGAGAAATCTTCATATCTAGTTAGTTCCCACCCAATCTTTCTGAGACTAAAAGTTGTTTCTGAATTAGTCTAGAGCCATAGCTTGAGCTACCACAGACCTTAGTTGTGACAGTATGGCCACCAATGAATAAAGAACCCGATTATTGAAATTGCTCAGAATACCCGTTTTTAGCTTCTAGAACCTATTTCTTAGTTCAAGATCCCTCTTACTAACTGGAATCAAAGAATTAGTAGATCTGTTCCACCCAAAATGGGAATGGGCTAGGGTTATGAACTTATAATCGATAATCTGATGATCGAGTCGATTCCATGATTATAAGTTCATTCCATACCGGACCAGACCAGAATAGGGTTATATACGTTCTAATTATGAGAAGCTCATAACAATCAATTGTTAGCGTTACAAGTTTGAGATAAAAAGCTTCATAGTTTGAACTAAAGTAGTTTAACTTAAGCGCTAATAGTTCTAGGACCTAAAATTTCTAAATATGATAAAAATGAGAGATAAACTAATAAGAAAAAAACAATAGCTATTAGGCTAAGGAGTCTATTGATCTAAAGCAGAAAACTTTCTATGAAAATTTTATCAATCAGAAAGGAAAAGATCACAACATAAAACGATAGATAAGAGATCCATCACCAAAACAGAGAAAGAACAAAACACGGGGTCAGAAAAAATAAACAAAACAAAACAAAAGAAACAAGGGCTCAAAGCAGAGAACTTGATCGTAGATAATTGAAAAACAAACAGGACATTAGGTGTAATCAATGGTGTATTACAAGCCCATTCACATAGACAAAAAATGAAAACTTACAGCTCTTTCAGCTGTCCCAGGAGGACCATCAAGAATCTTAATGCGAGCTCTCGTCTCCTCAACTATCTTCTTGATAAACTCCCCTTTGCGTCCAATTATGCTGCCAACTTTTTGTGCCGGAACTAGCATACGAAAAACGCTCTCCCCAGGCCATCCGGGCCACTTCTTCTCAGCTGCACCAACTGGCTCACCTCCACCAACCACCGGTTCCTCATATTGTTCTTGTTTTTGTTCAGGTTGCGGCTCCTCTGGCTCAGGGACTTCTACGTTCTCGGGCACTTCCGAGTTTTCAGGTACATTATCTACGACGTCTTGTTCACCAAAGTTTTGTTCCTCAACTTCGGCCATAAATAATCAAACTGCACTAAACAAAAGCCAATACGAAAAAATAAATCCAACCCTCAACAAACCTAGCAAGTCCAACTATCAAACATCCAATACACCTCCAAATTTCTTTGGTAGTGAACAAATCTAATCACCATAACCAGAAAGTATGTACTAAAAGCACGGTTCATCATGTTCTTAACGTAATGAAGATGACTAAGGCACTAAGCCCTTAGGATGAAGATTACTATTCCTGGATTTCCTAACCTTATCTAATAAATCCAGTAAAGTAACAGAATCCCACATCAAAGAAACGAAAACCTCCAACACAGAAATTGAAAAAGAAAACGCACGAACAAAAATCACAAGCCAAGAAAAAAAAAACACAGAGAGAGAGAGATTTGCAAAAATGTCAAATCCCGAGAATGGGAAAAGTTGAAACTATGAGCATTCACGGAAGAAGAAAAGGAGAAAAAAAAAAAAATATATATATATATAGCGCATAAATAAGGGAAACAAAGCTTAGAAAACCCTAGAAACACACGAATTGATATTGGATGAAAGCAAAACCACACTCACCAGAGTGACGAAGAGAACAGAACAAAAACCGAAGAATCTGGAAATGAAGGTTGCTAAGCTACGAATAGAAGAAGAAGAAGAAGAGGTTCTTCTAGTTCTAGGGTTCCAAAATGGGCTTAGAGAGAGAGAGAGATGTCGGGGTAAATTGACTGATTTTTATGATTTTATTTTCTTGTAATTATCTGATTGGATGACGTTTGAGGGAAGGACTGGTCAGTTGTGGAAATTATGAGTATTTGTTCTTCAGGTCCTTTAAAAATTGTTCAATTTGTATCTCGACCTCGGTTTTAGTTTATCAGTGACGAGAACAGCCCATCCAATGGTGTTTTTAGGTTTTTGCTCGATATTGTTTTTTTTTTTTTTTGGAACAGAGAATAACAGCAAAAAAAAAAAAAAAACACGTATAATATTTTTCTGTTGTTCTAAACAAAAATGGATAAATCTTATAAATCTTTTTATCTTTCGAATTTGAAAAACCATCATTCTCTTCTACTAAACTTCAAAAAACAAAAAAAAAAAGCTTCAAAGTGTTAGCAAACTTGTCTTTTTGAATGGATCATGGACGAGGTTGATTTTGCTTAAAACCCCAAATCAGAAGATTAAGACTGTGTTTGAAATTAATTCTGTTTTTATTTTTTTCATTTTTTGAAAAAGAAGAAATAAAAACGTTTTTAAAATAACGTTTGGCGTAATAAAAATAAAAAATAAAAATGAAAACGATTTTTTAGTTTAGTGTAAAATGAGAGAGAAATGAAAAATAACTTTTAGTCTTTTTTTTCGTTTTCTCCTCTCTCGAGGAGAGAGAAAGAGATAGAGATATTAATGAGTTTTTTATACTGAAAATAATTTCTTGATAAAACTACCAAACGCATTTTTAAAAATGATTTCTGTCTGAGATTGAAAATATTTTCATTTTTATTTTTATATAAAAAATAAAATTATTTTAAAACGAGTTCTAAACGAGCTCTAAAATCTAATTAAAAAATGAAAGAAGGAAGAGGGAGGATGTTTGCTAGCATTTTAATTTGAGAGAGAGAGAGAGAGAGAGAGAGCGCGAATGAAACTTTTTCATATTCAAGAGGTGTAAATGTGAAAAGGTGACTTAAGTTTGGAGTGTAATAAAATTTACATTTAAAAGGTATTTTGCGTAAGCTTACAGCCACAAGTAGAGAATTTGGTTAAAATAACCAAGTGAAAAAGTAAAATTAAGAAAATGATTTTTTAATTTTAATTTTATTTATTTCCAGATCTCTACTCCACAAATCTCACTCTGTCACTCACAGATCCAGACCAAGAAGAAGCGGGAGCAGAAAAAGAAACCAACAACAAGAAGAAGATGGGTTCTGTTTCTCTGAAAATAGGCGACGGAACGGCCAGATTCAGAAGAGCAACACTGTGGTCTTCGGCGGTCAACATTCTGATGCTCGCCTCCGTCGTGACGACAAATCTCTCCTCCTCCTTCGAGTCTGGAGTGAGAGTGGAGAGGAGAGAGATTGTTATATTTTAAAAGAAAGTCATTTTATAAATAAAAATTTTTAAAAAGTTATTTTACTAATGAAACTTATTTTTACCTCCTACAAGTATATGAGTTTTAGCAACCAAAAAAAAGACAAATTGAAGAAAAACGACAACAATATAAAACAAAACAAAAAAACGCAAGAAAAATTATTTCAACGATATACGCGACTCGAAGCAAGAACGACAAAATTGACACGACTGGGAAGGAAAAATGACAGTACGGATGGGAGAAAACTGATAGAGAGAAAAAGGCCGACAAATTTTAGACGATGAATAAATAAGAAAATTAGCAAAATTTAAGAAGGGCAGTATAGTAAAGAACGACAGCAACGGTAGAAAGGGCAAGAACGGAAATGAAGAAATAAAAACGACAACAGAAGCCAAAGAGATATCAAGGACAAGAAATAAAGAGCGACAACAAATGTAAACGAAAACGAAATAACATAAAAGCAATAAGTGAAAAAACGGCAGGTATCCGGCAACAAAGGCAAAAACGACAACAAAATCTAAACAATCATTAAACGGCAAATCAACGGCAAGAGAAAAAAGACGATAGAGCGAAAATGCCATGACGGAGATAAATGATAATGGTGACAAATGGCAGCGGAAAACGACAGTAGAGTTATCAAGGACAATTAAAAGAACTGCAGACATAACAAAATAAACAAAACATGAAAAGACAGTTAAAAAAAGGAAAGAACGTAATAAAACGATAATTTAGGGAAAAAAATAGAAAAAGACTGCAAAGAGCAAAAACATGATAAATCCAAAAAACTACAAAAAAAAAAAAAAGGGAAAGTGAAACAAAGTGAAAACGACAATAAAGGAAAAACAACATAACATAGGAAATAATGATAACAAATCGGAAAAAACGACCAGGAAAGTGAGAGGCTTAAAAAAATGAATAAGTAAATAAATTTATCGTTGTTATTGTTGTTGTCATATTTATTCCAAAATGGATTTTGAAGTGTCATTTGAAATTAGCCATTTCTATCTCTTTTTTAACAAAATTGAAAAATAATAATAATAAATAAACAGAACTCCTTTTGTCCTTATAAAGCTCTCTTGTTCTCACCATGCAAAACAGTAAAAGCATGAAGACTTTGTGATACACAAACATAGCTATAGCATAGCTGTTTAGTGAGACAGGGGAAAAACTGCCTTTATAGGTTTATAGCAGGTCTGCTAACATAGAAAAAGCAAAAGCAGTCTCAATTCAATATTACTGATCTGTAGAAAGATTCAGTACAGCCTCTTTAGAAAACAAAAGATCATTCAATTATGAGCATTAAGATGGAAAAGTTACAAAGCCAAAATGAAACAATGTGACAACAGAGAAGATCTTTACAACTCTCTGACAAATGACAATGGATGAGACAAAGAGATAGGGTGGAACTTGAGCATCTATACAAATGACAGTGCAGGGGCTATCTACTCTTCTACTTATCTCCACTTTGCAAGAGAGCAACAAAGAATGTGAATGTTAAAACTACAACAAAAAGATAGAGAAGGCTATACTATTTGTTCTATTTACTCTCGTCATTAGCCGGCTCTGGTGCAACAGTCGAAGCAGCCACAAGGGAATCGAATTTCTCAGACTTCCCGAGCACAATCTCAATCTAAAATTGAAGGAAACAAGATATCAACAGCCAAACACAAGAGAGAATAATTTTTAATAACATAATATCAATGCATGCACATACTAAATTCAGATTTTTAAGTTAGACCCACCTTGGCTTTCTGAACCAGACGGCCTTTGTTCTCATCTTTCATGCCAACTGTGGACGTTGAGACTTCTGTTCAATATCAGGGAGTAAGAGAATTAATTCTATTAGCAATCTCCGTCAGGAGTTTAAGGAAATTATTAGCTGGTATCATTTTATATAGTTTCTTACTCTTTTCAGTGGCAAGTCCATTGTTCTTCAAGATTTCAGAAATTGTGACAACTGTAGTGATTGCTGCAAATGAAATTTGATTAAGGATTTTAGCAAGCATGGTGATTAGTAATGATGAGCGTGACATATAGCTCTGTGAAAACAACAGTGCTGATGAATTACTAGATGGCGGAAATAGCATTCAAGGAATTAAAATATGCATATAAACATTCAGAAATGGTTTAGAGAAATGTACCCATTCCAAGGGCAGAAAGCTCAACCTCATTGTGCTGTTGAATGTACCTCTGCATCGTCAAGGAGCAAAAATTTACAAACAATTTAACAACCGACTCATATTTGTGATGAAAACTATCTAAAGATAGAACATAAACACGCACATAGATACATAACAGAGAAAGAAAACCATCAAATCTCAAGAAAATGAAAAACTGCTTTTCCATTCATCCAATGAAATGCTGAACGCGTTCTGCTCGTCACTTTAGTGAAAAAATGTGAAATAAAGAATGAAATATCACTCAAGATTACGGTAAAACAGATAATCTGCATCTTTCTTTTGCTTCCATCCCTCAAATCATCCAAAATCCCAAAGAACCAAACAAATCTTGAAGCTCCAATATTTTATTCAATTAATTTCCAATATTTTATCTAAAGTCAAACAGGCCAAGCAAAGAATTGAAATCCATCACGAGTGCCATGAGATATCATGAAACAGGGCAAAATAGGTTCACATAGCTCGAATAAGGAATCAAAAAACGTCATTACTTCTTTTTTTTCGATGGAAATTATAAATTCCTTCACTTGAAACAATTTCTCAGATTTTTCTCTATTTTCCTAAAAAACAGAGTCCAAAAGATGAAAGACGGCATAAAAACCAAAATTTGGCAAATTCTTTCCTTTCTTACACTTAATTTAGTGACTGATCATCAGATTTTTTTCTTCAGAAGAAATAAATCAAGAAGCCTTTCAACGAAGTTCATAAAGGCACAATCATCGAAAAATAGGAAAAATGAGAAATTGAAGCCATAATTCACATTCGAAACAAACCAGATCAGAACCACACTACAATTACAAATTATCATCGAACAAAAAAAAAATCAAAGAAGGTGATTTTACCTTGGCGAGATTGACGTAAAAGAAGAGAGGCTTCTTGGTGTTGGAAACCTGAATTCTGTTCTTTTTCTGCGCGTGGATGGATTGGGCTTGGGGAACTGCAACAGTGGCCATGGTTCTTCTTCCAAATTCTCTCTCCACAAAAATTTTCTCGCACTTTCTCAGGACCTCCGATTCTCTTCAAGGGAAGGCAGGAAAATCGAAGCGTTCTCGTTTCGAGTGAAAGTACGGTAATTTGTTACGGAGGAGAGGTACGTATATATATATTGGGAGCCAAATGGGATCAACAGATGGTTGGTTTTTCGTTGCAAGTGGACGGGGTCACCGGTTGGTTAGTTTTGGCGGTTAGGATTTTGCATAGATGAATTGACGAATATAGCCCTGGTCAATTGGTTGTAATTACTTTTTCCTTAAAAAAAAAAAAAGAAAAGAAAAACCGCCTATGGAAAATCGCACAAAACCCTGGCGTGGGGTGGGTAGGATTGTAAAAAAAAACCGTAAAATCTAGATCGATCGCTCAAAAACCGAAAAAAATAGCACTGTCTAGAATTAAAAATAATCAATTCGGTTAACTGACCGAACTCATTTGAAAGCGATTCAATTTTAGTTTTGAATTTAGATGTTCGGTTAAAAACCGAACCGACCGATTCTTTTTTTTTTTTAAATGTTGTCATTTTTCTTTGTCCTCTCTCTGGGAAGAGCAAAGGGGAGGGGCAGGGAAATTGAAGAGGGTGATGATGATTGAGTCATCTTATACCGGTGAATATTCAGGCCTCGTTCGTTTCCCTGATTCGAGTTTAAAATTTGAGTTGAGATGTGATTTCATATGAGAGTGTTTTACTGTAGTAAAAAAGTTAGATGTGACTGCTTGTGAGAGCTTTTTACTGTAGCAAAACTAGAATTCTAAACTCGAATCAGCGAAACGAACGAGACCTCAGTTTTCACGATATTAATTTGGCGTGTGTGTGTCCACGCTTAAAGCAATATTTTGTGATCCTATGTTTTAAAGATAAACCGGATATTGGTGCAATGTAATATTGCTATCATTTAAAGAACCTCTCCCATTTTATCTCATTAGAATTTGGTTCAATTTGTGATGCAGTTTAACATGGGTAATATTGCCATGAAACATTATGTGGCAACACGTCCAATGTTTATTGACTTGGAAGTCATGAATGCAGATACAAGATTGGATCTTGGTGACCATAGTTCACAGGCTACTGCTAGCAATGTTGCTCGAGGCCTTGCTTCCTTGTACAAAGAAATTACATGTCTTGATATTTTCACTGATTCTCATACAAGAGATTGAATTTTTTTATAGTTCTTTTGTGATATCTTTTTAGTTTATCTTGCAGGTATTGTACGTAAGGAGACAGCTATAATAATAGTTGTATTCCTTTTTCCTAATAAAGTAATGTCAATTTTAGTTCAGGTAAATAATAAATTTACTCTTATTAGCATGTGTTTAAGTTACGGCAGTATTAGTCAATACATTTATTGTGATTACAAATTTACATAAAATGAAAGTTTTACATTTTTTTTGGATTTTCTGGTCAAAAATATAACTAAAGATATTGGTAATCTGATGGTTTACTAAGAATTACCTTTTTTATTACCAAAATCAAAAACTGAATGAAAATCAAAGTTAGTTAATTGAACCGACTACTTTCTTGTACGGTTCGGTTTCGGTGTACAGTTTTAAAAAATTGAAATAGCCAGTTTAGCTATTAAACCGACTAAAACTTACGGTTTTTAACCAACAAACACTCCTAATTGGGGTGGGGGTCTCCCTCAATGAAAAGAAAGGCAGGAAACAAGAAAATGACAAGAAAAAAAAGGGGGAAATAATCAAATGACAATACGTATGAAAGGACATAAAAAAAGAAGAAAACGACAATAAATTTGAAAACAAGAGATCGACACATCGGAAACAGAAAAAGAAAAAGATCATAGAGCAATAAGTTATAAAACGACGTAGGCTTGGGAAAAGGACAACAACGATAAACGACAACAAGAGGGGGAAAATAACCTAAAAACGACAATTAGATTAGGAAAGGCCGAACGTCGAAAAAGAGACAATAAAGGCGCAAAGCGACAGCAGAGAGAAAACGGCAACAAATTCGAAACTATAGAGGAATCAACAAGCATGTATAAACGACAATAAATCCATAAACGAATGAACTGGGACGAGTTCAATATTTTGTTTTGTGTACATGAAAATATAAATTTTTTGAGAATGATGTTGAAATCGTTTAAATATTGTGTTTGATTTTTCTCTTAAAATTAACTAAATCCTAATCTCCATCACTATTGTTTATTACTTGTTTATGGTAATGTCTTAATTATCATATAAACTTTTTATATATGGAGCTTCTATGCTTTAGTTTTGAATCTTGAATATCTAAGGCCCCGTTCACTTCACCAATTCGAGTTTAGAATTCGAGTTTTGCTACAGTAAAAAGCTTTCATAAACAATCACATCTAATTTTTTTGCTACAGTAAAAATCTCTCATATAAAATCACATCTCAACTCGAATTACAAATTCGAATCAGCGAAATGAACGGACCCAACGTTCTTGTTGATATTTAAATAAACTTGTTTATTACTTGAAGGAGAATGACAAGATTTTGTGATCTAGCCGAAAAGGCAGCGGTGGAAGATATATATCTCCATGTATACAAGTATTATTCATCAATTAATATATCCATTCAATTGTATAGTGGATTTTTCACGATATTCATAACATAAATGCCATTTTCACAGTAGTAATTAATAACAGTTATTAGAATTAATAATTATGTAAATAAATTAATAAACATAAATTATTTTTCATCGTTTGGACTATTTTTCATGCAAAGATTACCAAATACCTTTTAAGTACAAGAACTTCTCACTATAATTAATACTAATGTCAGAAGCCAATAAATTAATAAACATATAAATAAGGAAATATGTCAAGATTTGAGATAAATTAAAATTAATAGATCAATAGTTTACATAAGTTAATAAATAGGTCAAATTACTGTTTTCGTCCATAACTTGTATGGTTATGAACCATAACTTAACTTGACAAGTTATTATCCATAATTCACAATTTTTGTCCATAACTTATCTGATTATGAACCATAACTTGACAAGTTTGTCCATAACTTATCTGATTATGAACCATAACTTGACAAGTTATGGTCTATTAATTTCTATAACTAAAAATTGGCCTATATACTTTCTTAAGCTTTTTATATTAGCCTGTTTTCTACTATTTTCCAAAGATAAATTACTTTTCCCTGTTTGGACTATTTTTCATGCAAAGATGATCAACATATTTTAATTATAAGAACTTCTCATTAGAACGGGACAAAACCATCAGGATAATATCAACGAGATGAAATAATTTTTTCTTTCATAAATTCGGAATGGAGCTTATCAAAGCTTACTACACAAAGAAGTAACTTGGTATATACACAAAGTATATTGGGGTTTCTTAATAAATCGGCCTTTTATTAAAAAGTGTGAGATAGTTATCTCTATTTAATTTTGGGAGGTAAGATTGATTAAATTTTTTAATATTTAAGGGGGGCTATTTGTAGTTTAATCATGAGCATCCCCAGTTTTGTTTTGGCGGGTTGGTTACTGACATTGACATTGAAATTGATAAAAGATTTCTAAATTTAATATAGATAAATAAATCTATATAGCTAGTAGTTAAAATTTGTACATAAATAATTACAATAATGGTAAAATATTCTCTTTACTTCCTTTAAAAACTAAAATATTTTGTGTAAATTAAACTTAAAATCTTGGAAGATTCCAATAATAGTAAAATATTATCTTTACTTCCTTTAAAAACTAAAATATTTTGTGTAAATTAAACTTAAAATCTTGGAAGATTCTCTAGTACGTCTAACATACTGGTAGATTATATTTTTTTAACTGTTGAATCTGCATACTTTTTAATTTTTACGCGATTTTATGCGGATCTAACGGATAGAAAGTTTGGCCAACACATGCAGATCAAACGGATAAAAAAATTGACCTACTGATATGTTAGCGTACCGGAGAATGTCTTATTTTGTTTATCACAATATTTTTCAAAAAAGAAAAAAAAAAACTATGTGTACATATAAGATACATTTATAAAAGTGTCGGAGGCAAAGGCTGTGGAGAAGTCTCTATGCAAAAGTTGAAATTTGATGGACACAAATGATGGAAATAAAAGTGGTGTGGTCCAAACTGAATCGCAATTAAGATCTTAGCGAAAAGAAGTTTGCTAAAACTATGCCTCCTTTATCTGGAACACATTGAATTTTCTTCCCCGCTCGTTTACAAAAAGATGTTCTGTGTACCACCGAGAGTGGCATTATTTAGGAAAATGATTTGAATCATATTAAACCACATATCAACCAAAAAAAAAACGAAACAAATTTTCTTATGAATGGTCATTTTCCTTATGCCTTGAACCATTATAAGAACAAGTCGGCTAACTTTTGTTGTGGGGTTTATCTATATTAGTAGAAAGTGGAAGAGCGAGGAAGGTTCGAGTTTTTTTTTTTTTTTTTTTTTTTCTTTTCTCTTCTCTCTTTTTGGGAAGAATTGTTATTGTTTTAATACAAATACAAAACCCATAATTCAAGCATAACAATACGTTCAATGAACTTAACAATTCCGTACCAACTTGGGTTTATCCCGATGAATAATAATATGATATTTAATTTGAGCACTCTCTATATATATGTTTCCTTCTCTTTTCTTTACATTATCTATGGTTTCAGGATATCCTAATCTCATATAACTGGTAATAAACAATTAAATTATGGTTTCATACACACGGTGGGGATCAACTTATATAACTAAACTAATGTTTAATATAATTAATTAATCGGAACGCTTTGGAATATATGCTTTGGGTCTACCACTCTTTTTTCTTCTTCTTTGTGTCTCTATTTAAAAAAAAAAAAATTAAAAGCTATTAATGACTTAATGTGCAAATCTGAATCTACTATATAAAAACAGCAGGGAAGGTTGGAATTCTGATAGTTATGAATAAAGAATAGACTTTAAGGGCTCTTTGCCACTCTTTAGTCATCTTCATCATAAAGAAACACTACTATTTTAT